AGGCGCCAAATAGAGCTTTGGTATGTCAAGCGTCAAATAGGAAACCCACAATGGAAGCTAGAGACTGGACAAGGCCACAAGAGTTCCTAAACTGTGCTCTCAGCATAATTCGAAGGCGACGTCTAGCGGGCTGGCCCAAAAATTCTTCGATCGGGAACATGATGCTCCAACAAATTCAAATGATCGACTAAACTCTCTAAAAAACTGATCGATCAAACATAAAACTTTTTCAAAGCAAGTCGCACGGTTGGCTGGTTGATCAATTGAGCAGTTGGCCGTCTCACATGTTGAGGATTTAAAAAAATCCAAAAATTGATAAAAGTTCATGAGTTTGAAAAAGTTTTCCAATTCAGGAGTTCGAAAGAAAGCTTGATGATTTGACAAAAGTTCATCGATTTTCAATTAAAAAAATATTGGATTAGAAATTTTTTATCAATTTTGAAAAAAACTCATGAATTCGAAAAAATATCACCCAATTTTGAAAAAAAATCACAGATTTTAAAATAGTTCATCAATTTTGAAAAAATATTAACTAAATTGGGAAAAGTTCATGGATTTTTTTTAAGTTTGCAAATACAGAAAATGTACATCATTTTGAAAAAAAATCACAGATTTAGAAATTTTAATCATTTTCTAAAAGTTCACAAATTTTAAAAAAATCATCGGATTTTGAAAAAAATCTACAGTTTTTCAAAAAAAGGTTTAGGGTTTGAATAAAGTTTAAAATAGGATAAAGTTCATGTATCTTGAAGAAGGAAAAAATAGAAAAAAAATGAAAAGGAATAAAATTGGTCCATAAAAAGAAGAAAAAACCAATGAAAACCTCCCAAAACCGGTTCGGGAACGTCCCAGAAATGAGCGACCGTATATGGGCCGGTGCACTAAAAACTCATGTTGGTTTTTTTAGAATATAAAAAAACTTATATTGATGGCTCAGAGGGGTGCGCCGGTTTACAGCTTTGACTGTAACTGGCCCAATGGCCAGGGGAAACAAAACGAACTGAACACGTAGCCGCGCGCACTAAGAAAAAATACTACATGTTGCTCCGTTGTGTTTCTTTTTTGAACGCAACCGCTTATATACACTAGATGATACCCCGCGCGTTGTTGCGGGAAAATCTAGTGGACTACTAAATGCTAAATGGGCTGAATTTAAATATCATGATTATTTTATATTTTTGTGGTTGTCAGCAGCAAGAAATTGACATGCGGTTAAGTACACACCAAATAGGACATAGACTATGCAGTTGCTATTTCAGAGATGGGTCACGTTGCCATATAGCGTCTTACATCGGTTCCTATATACATGAATACTAAAGATGATTTGATAAACATGAGTATTAGTCAGAGGTGGATGTCAGAGAGGTGAAGATTGGTGTAAGTCAGGATTGGAGTTTGCATTTAGTAGATATTGCAAAACTACAGATACAGCAAGCAAATGAAATTAGGTTTCAGCAATGGTCGAGCTCCTTAATATTGCTTCAAAAAGTATAATTGCAAGCATGCACATACATAAACCAAAATATGCTACTAATTCGAGCTTGTGAGCTTGTGTTTCAAAAATACTACTATTATATAAACATATTCTTGTGACATCATTAGTAATCACAGATGATACTTTTAGACTACAGCCATTTCAGAACTATCAACATAACCTATAGCGATTTATTTCAGACTTTCCTTTATGATGAATCAGACAAAATGTTAAATCCAATCAACAACTTGTGACAAATAAATAAAAAATCTCCAAGGGATCCAGCAAAATTCATGGATTTTTCCATACTGTACAATCGAGCTTTGTTGCAAATACAGAAACACTAATAATCAAGCAACTAAGGTAGTTGATATATTGATCTCCACTTTGGTTGAATGCTTGAGAAAATTGAAAGCATAATTTTTTGCCGAGACCCAGAGAGACCACTACCATTGAGATTCAAGGTGTAGTGGCACCAGGAAGATACCCATTGCTGATATGGACTGCAAAGACGTGCAAAACTGACTGCAAAGACACGTGAGTAGAAAACTTTTGCCAAAACCTTGATCTGGTTGCCTGCATGTGCTAGTGGTAAGAAACGGGTAGTTCAAAATGCATCAAAAAGAATGTCAAGGAAATCACCAACTTGCAAAATCTTGAATTAGGTTGTGTATATGCACTATGACTACACGGGTAAGTTAGATGCCGGTTGAACAATACAAATATATCATGCAAGGAAAACATGATCAGAATAAAAAAGAAGTAAGCACTTATGGATTCTATTTTAGGATGCGCCCTATCCTGTAATTTAATCAAACAAAACGTTAGCCTCTTGAAAGATACGACCGCAGATAAAATTAGAATAGACGACCATAGAACACAAATTCTTACCCATGTTTTGTTTCCGGTTTTGCAAGTTGCTCTGCAGCCTCACATTGTGCCAACGGCTCCAGATAACATGATCTCGCCATAATTGGCCGCACCTTCGAGCAGCAGCACCTGTGACACAACCTTGCTTGCGTCGACGAAGCACTATCGGCAACACCCAGCCACGCTGGCAGCCGAGGTATACAGCACCTGACGGCAAGCCATCGTTTACTTTTATGCTACACGCGCTCCGCAGAGTGCCCACGTCTCCGTGCGCGAACTGGTAGGTTGGGTTGTTGTAGGATTGCACCCAACAGTCAGCTAGCAGCCCCGTGCCGGGCGCAGCCATGAGGGACGCATGGGGGAATGGGCACTGCCGCGCCGAGTGAGCATGTATGTCTTGCGTCCGGCAACGTGCATCGCCCATTACAACGACAATGGCGTAAGGTTCCTGGTGAGGTCGTCGTAGTACCTGGATGGAGCCAAGAAAGTCCCATTGGTAGGTGGCACGTCTTGGGTGTCAGATGGCGAGTACTCTGAAAATAGGGAGCATCTCCCACCACAGTGCAGGGCTGGAAGCAGCTAGTTCAGAGAGTAGATGCTACCAGCCTGTGCGTGATCGACGATGGCGTTTTAAGGTGAAACTCCTGTTTGCTGGGTAATGGAGGCCGGCGATGAATTCTGACGTTTCATGTGGATTTGTGGTTGCCGTTTTCATGGCAATGAATGGTGTGCGTGTGCGGCGACGTTACGACTGGCCATAGGGAAGATGAAGCCTAAGCGATCCACTGTGATTGCATGGCTAACACCGGGATATAATAAGCCGCCTACAGGCCGCGTTAGATAGTGGGCTAGCACAAATGACGAAGGCAGTTATGTTACGTACCAATTAACCCACTGAACCGGGCAGCCCACTTGCGAAAAATGACCCCGTTGTTGACACACGCACGGAATACACCACCTTTTCTTTTTCAGCCTACCGTGAGAAGGACACAACAAATCCGGTGGCAAGGAAGTTTTGATCAAATCCGTAGCCCAGACAATCCCCGTTTACTCGATGTCTTGTTTCAAGCTTCCGAGGGTCTGTGCAGTCATATAAATTCTATCATTCGAAAGTTTTGGTGGGGTTGCAAACAGGGTGAGAGAAAACCGACGTGGGTGTCATGGGAAGTTATGACAAGACCCAAATATCTTGGAGGTTTAGGGTTCAGGAATCTTGAACTCTTTAACTTGGCACTCCTGGCACGACAGTCTTGGAGGGTGCTACAGGACCCTTCGTCTTTGAGCTCTAGGATCCTCAAAGCGTCGTATTACCCTGACAGGTCACTCCTAAATGCAGAAATTGGGTCAAGACCGTTCCAGATCTGGCGGGCAATTCTTGAAGGCAGAGATATTCTCAAACAAGGGTTAATTCGAAGGATAGGGAATGGCCAAACGACGAGTATTTGGGACCATAACTGGATACCCAAAGAATCATCATTGCGACCTATAGTGTCCCTTGTACAAGACCCACCAGAGAGGGTAGCGGAACTCATGCTACCAGCTATGGCTGCATGGAATGAGCAGCTGGTTCGATTTGTGTTCCTGCCTACGGATGCAGAGGCGATCTTAAGGATCCCAGTGTGCACCAGAAATACTGAAGATTTCTGGGCATGGCACCCAGAGAAGAAGGGCCGGTTTACAGTCAGTTCGGCATATAAGTTTATGGTGAAAACCAAGATAACTAGGGAAGACTGGCTTGAGGGCAGATCGGGATCATCAAGTACTGACAGAGAAGAAAATGATTGGTCTAAATTGTGGAGTCTGACGGTGCCGTCAAAACTGAGAATATTTTTGTGGCGTTTGGCTCGCCATTCACTGCCCACAACAGACGTGTTGAGCAGACGAAACATGGCTACCCGTGACGCATGTCCGTTGTGTGGGACACCTGACTCATGGCGCCATGCCCTGATCTCCTGTACGTCCGCGAGGTGTACGTGGGCATTGTCAGACCCTCTGTTGGTAGCAAAAATGGCGGAGAATACAGAGCCAGGAGCTAAGAGCTGGCTATTTCAGATGTATGAGGCCCTTGATCACAGCACGTTCACGAGAATGGTGGTGACCCTGTGGTCTATTTGGTATGCTCGGCGCCAGGCAATACACGAAGGCGTTTTTCAGTCTCCTATGCAAACGTCTTCCTTTGTGAACTCCTATATCAGTGAGCTGGATCAAATTGCTAATACGGAAACCAAGCCAGTTATGGGAATTCAGCATCAGGTGGGCCCAAGACAATGGCTTCTTTCACCTAGTGGAGTGGCAAAGATTAATGCTGATGGTGCAGTTGCACGCAACATGCGCGGTGGGGCTGTCGCCGCTGTGTGCCGAGATCACACCGGAGCTTATTTGGGGTCCTCGGCTGTTGTCTTCCGGGACACAAGAGACCCGACAGTTTTGGAAACGTTTGCATGCAGAGAAGCACTATCACTTGCAGAGGATTTACATGTTCAGAACCTGATGGTAGCATCTGACTGTCAGGGAGTTGTAAATGACATAGTTCATGGAACGGGAGGTCATCACTCAGCCATAGTCCATGAAATTATGAGCCGTAGAGATAGTTTTAATCAGTGCTCTTTTGTCCATGAGCGTAGGAATCACAATTTTGAAGCTCACAATCTTGCCAAATTTGCTTGTAATTTAGCCATAGGTAGACATATTTGGTTGGGTTCTCCACATAACCCAAGGCTTGTACCTATGAACATTATCGTGAATCAATAAAATGGCGAGATTTTCTCAAAACAAAAGTGAGAAGGACACAACATGAAAACCGTGCGGGCGATAACCGCAGGATCGGTGGTGATGTGGCAGCAGAAGAAGTGAGAGAAATTTAGTGCTAAAAGCTGACGTGGCATAAAGCTGATGTAGACAGTATGCATGTTGAAAGAATTAGTAATAGTGGGGAGCAACTTCTTAAAAATGTAAGATGCGCATACGCTCATTCCTTTTATTTTTTTGAATATCAGTACAGCCACAAGCGTTCATATACACGCACATACACTCACCTCTATGAACGCACACACGCACGCCCTATTCCTATGAGCACCTTCGAAAGACTGAGCCGACATATTATCTTGAGATTTACGAAGTCACGGTATGCGCCTCGTCGTCGACGGAAACGTCTCCTCCCACTGAATGCGCATCGCCGGAAATCCTGAAATAAATACGAGCACCAAGATTTGAACCTTGGTGGGCTGGGGATACCACAGTCCCTCTAACCATCCAACCACGGGTTGGTTCGCATACACTCATCCCTATGAGTACCTCCGAAAAACTGAGCCGACATATCATCTTGAAAAAATACTACACGTTGCTCCGTGGTGTTAGAATGTAAAATGGAAGGTAAATATTCGAATTGTCCCATAAAAAAGGAAAATATTCGAAGATTGATTAGTAGTATATAACATTAAATAGCATTTTATTCTTTCCTTATTTACCTTCAATATTTAAGTGCGCTATAATCTCTTCATAGTTACCCGCAAAAGAAATCTCTTTCCTAATTTGTAGACGTAAATAAATCCCTAATAGCCCTGCACAATCATTAACTTATTCTACTTTTTTTGATAAAAAACACATTTTACCTTTTTGCGGGAATTTTAACATATAATATTACCTCTTTTTTTGATAGGTTAACATATACTGTATATATTAGTACCTCACAAGAGGTAATAGTAAGGCTAGCCATTGAATCACACAAAAATGATGGCTTGCATGGATTTCAACCATTTTTTAAAAGCTCGCCTTAGAAAGGCTATAACCCCTCCATTTTGAAAGGGAGCGAAGGCCATAACAAATTGCAAAGTATAAATTGGATTTTTTTACATGATAATATGTGTCTCGTTCATATCATAAATTACAGGAACAATGGCCGACCGACGGTCCAATAGAAGGTCTCTGTATACTGGAGCATAAAGGGAGTAATAACATTTTAAATTCGACGTGTCTGCTGATCAAACGCGGTCCGAAAAGCTACACACAAAATGCTCGAACAAGGAGAAACTTAAGCCGACGCACCACGAATCCTTAAGGCAACCCTGGCGAACCTTTCCAGCCAAACACGCATTGCTTGACGGAGCAGCCTCAACACGAGGAAAGCAAAAGCAGAGCCGAGCTACACACCACAGCTAGCCAAGGCAACGCGCACTCGCACGCACAATGATGTCCGCTTTTCTCCTACTCGTGCTCTGCTCGCTGGCCCCCGCCGCCCTCTCCGTCCCGCCCCGCCCGCCGGTGCGCTGCGGCAGCGACGGCGACGGCGACGCGGGCTGCGTGCTCTCGAACGCGTACGGCGCGTGGTCGAGCGACCGCGCGGACTGCCCCGTGGCGGCCGTCGCGTACCCGGCGTCCGAGCGGGACGTGGTCGCGGCCGTGGCGCGCGCCAGCGCGGGCGGCATGCGGGTCAAGGCCGTCAGCGGCTTCGCGCACACCATCCCGAAGCTGGCCTGCCCCGGCGGCGGCGGGAACGGCAGCGCGGCGTCTCTGCTGATCAGCACGGCCAGGTACGCTGGCGTGGAGGTGGACGCGGCGGCGCGGACGGTGACCGCGGACGCCGGCGCCCCGCTGCGGGCCGTGATCGACGCGGCGGAGGCGAGCGGGCTGAGCCTGCCGGCGTCGCCCTACTGGGAGGGGGTGAGCGTCGGCGGGGCCGTGAGCACGGGGTCCCACGGCAGCTCGTGGTGGGGCCGGGGCGGCGCCCTGCACGATCATGTCGTGCGGCTCAGCCTCGTCGTGCCCGCCGGAGCGGCCGACGGGTGGGCCAGGGTGGTGCCGCTCGCCAAAGGTGACGCGCTCTTCCCCGCCGCGCTCGTCTCGCTTGGCCTTCTAGGGGTTATCTCCAAGGTTAGTACTGAACTACTGATCACCACTGTACTCTGCCCTAGATGTGGAGTTCAGAAAAGGACCAAGAAGGATTGTCGAGCGTGCGCCGTTCTGTAGTTCAGACTTCCTGCAGGGACTACATTCTGTTGTACTAGCCTGTCGGTTAAATTTTGCATGTAGTACGATCTGTACTCTGGCGTTCTATTTCGTACTGCTAGTAAGACAAGGAAAAATCTCATTGATGTGCCGCCATGTGTTTAGCTGAAAACTCTGATTCTGAGCTTTTGGTACTTAGAAACATATATGATGTACTGGCATAGATACACAATGACAGAAGACAAAAACAGATCTAATATGTGGCATATGTCTTGTTAAGTGTGTTAAAACGGATGAAAAATCTCTTAAATGGGGGCAAATCCTGTAAACAAAATGTCAGAAGAGAGTTGGAATATGAAAGATGTAACATAATAAATCAACTCAAGCATACTGTTTCTTCTCAGAAAACAATATGGATTCTTTGATTACAATTTTGGTATTTTGGTCCTGTTAGAGTTGGAATGACCTGTGTAACGCATACTAGTCCAAGTGGCCCTGGAAGGCCCTACTAACTCTTCGATTAGCAATTGAGTGCGGCCAACCACTAATGCTTTCTTGACTAGATGAAGCATGAAACATCACCAGATCTAGATCCTAATCCGAGAGAGACAGGTAGTACATGTTGTTAATACACCGTTGCCTATTGCCGCCGAAATGTTGAGTGGCAAATGCTTTGCTGTCGCTATGAATGCAGTGCAAAAAATTTCAGCAGAAAAACAACGTGACATAAGGATGGCAATGGATAGGTATGAGGCGGGTAGAGCAATATCATACCCATACATGTGTAGTCAATGGGTACGCAATTCTACCCATACTCGTACCCATACCCGACGGGTACCCATACCCATTGGTAGATCAAACACTACACAAGTTATTCACAATTTTACATTCATCCATAGCTCATTTGACAAAAAAAACATTTATCTCAACTCAATAACAGATAGATGAGTACAAAACAATTATCTCAATTGAAATTGATAATTGATGACAACTTTAACATAGGTCAAAAGCTCGCAATACACTTCACGAAATAGCATCCGATAAATATGTAACATGTCAGTATAAACAAATAGGATATGGGTATATCCATGAGTACAAAGCTATACCCGTGCCCTACTCACGAATTAACGGGCGGTATATGGGTACTACTTTTTGGTATAAAATTATGCCCATATCCTGCACATACCCTTATTGTGACACGACAACTCTGAAAAGACAGGAAAAATGCATGCTTGCACGCATTGTCATTCTGAAGAGATCACATGTTCAGATGCAAGTTTTGTTTTACTCATGTTTCATCATGTCCAACTCCCAACTGATGCATGGAAGATATATATACTGTTGGTACGCAACTGCAGGTCACTCTGGCGCTGGAGCCGAGGTTCAAGAGAAGCGTGACCTACGACTACAGGGACGACTCCACCTTCCAGGACGACTTCGCGAACCACGCCGCGCGCCACGAGTTCGCCGACATCGCCTGGTACCCGTCCCAGCACCAGGCCGTGTACAGGCTCGACGACCGCGCGCCGCTCAACGCCACCGGCGACGGGGTCAACGACTTCATCGGCTTCCGCTCCACGCTTATCGCGGTCTCCCAGGGGGTCAGGGCGCTGGAGACCGCGCTGGAGGGGTCGAGGAACGTCAAGGGCAAGTGCGCAATGGCCACGGCGGAGATCGCGGCGAAGCGGCTGATCGGCAACGGGCTGCGCCGAAAGGACGGGCAGCCGTTCACCGGCTACCCCGTCGTGGGGTTCCAGGGCAAGATGCAGACGTCGGGCTCCTGCGCGCGCCCGCCGGCCTCCAGCCCGCTCACGGCGTGCGCGTGGGACCCCAGGTTCAAGGGGCTCTTCTTCTACGAGAGCACGGCCATCTTCTCGCCGGCGCGGTTCCGGTCCTTCGTCCTCGACGTGAAGAAGCTGCGCGACCTCAACCCGGACGGCATGTGCGGCGTGGACGTCTACAATGGCCTGCTGGTCCGGTTCGTGCGGAGGTCGGAGGCGTGGCTGGGCCAGCCGGAGGACTCCGTGGTGGTGGACTTCAACTACTACCGCGCGGCGGACCCGTCGGCGGCGCGGCTGAGCCAGGACGTGTGGGAGGAGGTGGAGCAGCTGGCGTTCGTCAAGCACGGGGCGCGCCCGCACTGGGCCAAGAACAGGATGGTGGCCTTCCGGGGCGTGCAGGGGAAGTACCCGGGATGGGCCAGGTTCGCCGCGGCCAAGCGGCAGCTGGACCCGCGGGGACTGTTCGACAGCCCGTGGTCCGAAGACGTCGTCGGCGGCAAGGAGCTCAGTAAGGACGATGGGTGCGCGCTGGACGGGCGATGCGTCTGCTCTGAGGACAGACACTGCAGCCCGGGGCAAGGGTACTACTGCGGAACGGGGCTTGTGTTTTCAGAGGCCAGGGTATGCAGGTACTCTGCCTCGCAGCTTGTATAGGACATGCACCCTCTGTTCGTAAAAACAGAGATAGTAATATACAACACTTCTGTTCTATATTTTTCTAAGTTGCCTGGATTTTAAATTTTGGGTCACTCGATTGAGGCCGTTGATTCTGCTATGAGATTTGTGCTGTGTTTTTTAATGGGGCTGTTCTATGAGCTGTTTTTTTGGGAGCTTACTAGTTTCGAGAGCCCCGAAAGGGTCACCTCGGGTGGGCTCAGAGCGCCCCATTTGGCGGGCTCTTAGGCGCCGTCACGTATCATGCTCTTAGTACTTCCTTCGATTCTTGATTTTAAATTTTTCCGCATGTGTTTTTTATCCTTTTAGATGGTTTTTTTTCAGTTTTTTCTTGTTTCATCAGTCTTTCTAAGCTTTTGGACAATTTCTTTTAGAAAAAATACATTTACACGAAAAAATGGGTTTTCTTTTTTCTTTTGTTTCTGTGAGAGACATAGATTTACTTTTGCGAGAGGCCCGACCAAGTATCTCAAAAAATAGAAAAAGGGGTTTTCTTTTTCTTTTTACTTCCACGAAAGGCATGGTCGTGCCTCTTGAAAATGGAAAAAAGAGAAAGAAAACACTTTTTTTCTTCCGCAACACGCACAAATTTGCTTCCACGAGAGGCATGGTCGTGTCTCTCAAAAATGAAAAAGAACACGTTTATTTACTTCCGCGAGAGGCACGACCGTACATCTCGAAAACGAAAAAAATGTGTTTTCTTTTTTCCCTTCAGCGAGAGGCACAAGTTTACTTCTCTTAGAGACATGGATTTGCTTCCGCAAAAAGCATGACTGTGCTTTTTTTGGAAAGGAAAAAAACATATGCTCCTGGTTCGGTTTTTACGTCCCCTTTTTTGTGATTTTTTTTCGTCAAAACCTACCAGCATGAGATCTAGTTTTGAAGATCTCGACCCGAGGAATCCAACATTAAAAACGGTTCGAGATTTGGATGCACGGTTTAAGAGATAAAATATTTTAAATAAACGAATCTACGAAGAAATGAAAAACTCACAAGTTGCGACAAGTGACACACAGTGCGCCACTTGTCTCAACCTGGAAGGTGGGAATGACCTTTGCAAAAGATGCTCCTTAATTAGTGATTTCATTTTTAGGGGTGTTCTATGAGCTCGTTGAAGCCCAATTATTTGTACCGCCCAGCCATCCCTCCTTCCCTTTGTTTTTGTTTTTTGTTTTTTTTGTTTCTATGCATTTCTCCGTTTGCCTTTTATTTCCTTTATTAGTATCTTTATTTTATATCTATTTTGGGGAAAAAATTACTATATCATCCTCCTTTATTAATTCGCTACAATAGTAGCATCGAAACAATCAGCGGGATAACATCCCTAGGGGGGTGCCGCCAACCATAAATCTGGAGGAGAAACTTTTGCTAGCCTAGCTAATTCATGGGCTACTCTATTGTTCTCTGTATAGCAATGTTCATACAAAATATGACTGAAATCTAGGTACATGTAATAACAGTCATCGAAGATTGCACTGGCCACCGAGGATGAATAACCATCCTTTAGCGTTGAAATGACCTCCGAGCTCCGTGTTCACTTCGATCTTGCTACACCTAGCAGTGCTGGCAAGATTCAAGCCAAATCTTTCTGTACGTTTCCAACATATCTACTTTTCTCACGCTTTTCCTCTTATTTTGGACTATAATTTGCATGATTTGAATGAAACTAACCCTGGACTGACGCTGTTTTCAGCAGAACTACCATGGTGTTGTTTCTGTGCAGAAATAAAAGTTCTCAGAATGGAACGAAACTTTGCGAGGAATTTTTATAGAATATATATAAATTTCTGGAGTCAAGACCTATCAGAGAGGGGCCCCTGGGTGGGCACAACCCACCAGGGCGCGCCCCCTCTCCTAGCACGCCCAGGTGGGTTGTACCCATCTGATGGTGCCGCAGTCGACCCCCCTGATACTATAAAATCACATATTTACAGAAAAAATTTAGGAAGAAAGAATTATCGCGATCCACGAGATGGAGACGCCACCAAGCCCTGTTCTTCCTCGGGAGGGCAGATCTGGAGTACGTTTGGGGCTCCGGAGAGGGGGATCTTCGTTCTTCATCATCGCCAACTCATCTTCATCGCCAATTCCATGATGCTCTCCATCGAGAGTGAGTAACTCCTTCGTAGGCTCGCTGGTCGGTGAGGAGTTGGATGAGATTCATCATGTAATCGAGTTAGTTTTGTTAGAGCCCGATGCCTAGTATTCATTATGTTCTTAGATTGATGTTGCTATGACTTTGCTATGCTTAATGCTTGTCACTTTTGGCCCGGGTGCCATGAACTCAGATCTGAACCGTTTATGAATTCATCATTATATCCATGTTTTAGATCCGATCTTGCAAGTCATGGTCACCTACTACGATTATGATCCAACAACCCGGAGTGACAACAACCGGGCCCACTCTCGGTGATGACCGTAGTTTGAGGAGTTCATGTATTCACTATGTGTTAATGCTTTGTTCCGGTTCTCTATTAAAAGGAGGCCTTAATATCCCTTAGTTTCCAATATGGACCCTGCTGCCACGGGAGGGTAGGACAAAAGATGTCATGCAAGTTCTTTTAATAAAGCATGTATGACTATTTACGGAATACATGCCTACATTATATCGATGAACTGGAGCTAGTGCCGTATCGCCCTAGGTTATAACTGTCATATGATGAATATCATCCAACAAGTCACCAATACAATGCCTACGAATTTATCTTATATTGTTTCTGCTAAGTTACTACTGCTATCATCATTGTTACACTTGCTACAAAATTACTTCTATGACTGTTACTATTATTATTGTTGCTGTTACTACTATCAAAACTATCAAACTACTTTGCTACTGATCACTTTGCTGCAGATAATTAATCTCCAGGTGTGGTTGAATTGACAACTCAGATGCTAATACCTTCAAATATTCTTTGGCTCCCCTTGTGTCAAATCTATAAATTTGGGTTGAATACTCTACCATCGAAAACTGTTGCGATCCCCTATACTTGTGGGTTATCAAGACCTTTTTCTGGCGCCGTTGCCGGGGAGCATAACTATATTTGTTGAGTCACTTGGGATTATTATCACATTATCACTATGAAGAATCTGAAAGATCCAAAGACTAAGATATTTCCCTCAAGGACGAGGGAAGGTAAGGAACTGCCATCTAGTTCTGCTTTAGATTCACCTTCTGTTATGAGTAAACTTGCAACACCACCACATGCTATTAATTCTGATATATCGCAAGTTATTGATGATGTTACTTCTACTATGAATGATGCTTATTGTCGGTGTCAAAACCGGCAGATCTCGAGTAGGGGGTCCCGAACTGTGCGTCTAGGCGGATGGTAACAGGAGACCGGGGACACGATGTTTTTACCCAGGTTCGGGCCCTCTCGATGGAGGTAAAACCCTACGTCCTGCTTGATTAATATTGATGATATGGGTAGTACAAGAGTAGATCTACCACGAGATCAAGGAGGCTAAACCCTAGAAGCTAGCCTATGGTATGATTGTTGTTCGTCCTACGGACTAAAACCCTCCGGTTTATATAGACACCAGAGAGGGCTAGGGTTACACAGAGTCGGTTACAATGGTAGGAGATCTACATATTCGTATCGCCAAGCTTGCCTTCCACGCTAAGGAAAGTCCCTTCCGGACACGGGACGAAGTCTTCAATCTTGTATCTTCATAGTCCAGGAGTCCGGCCGAAGGTATAGTCCGGCTATCCGGACACCCCCTAATCCAGGACTCCCTCAGTAGCCCCTGAACCAGGCTTCAATGACAACAAGTCCGGCGCGCAGATTGTCTTCGGCATTGCAAGGCGGGTTCCTCCTCCAAGTACTTCATAGAAGATTTTGAACACAAAGGTAGTGTCCGGCTCTGCAAAATAAGTTTCCACATATTGCCATAGAGAGAATAATATCTACACAAATCTAATCTGCTGACGTATTCCGTAGCGTGACATCACACCACGGCCAAGTCTTTATTCGAATCGTTTTACTGTCCCACCTCAGCGCGTTTAGCGAGGCGGTTTCCTTGGCACGTCTTGTCAAAGGAGAGATCGTGTCCCCTTATTCCGAGATTCTCATCAATACAGGCATGGGTAACCCAACCATACCCGTTGGTATGTTTTCTCGATCAAAGGCGAGTCCCAAACGGTCACGGGGAGGGCCCTTGGTATTCAACCTCTTATAAAGAGACCAAGGCCTTACTCCTTTCTTTCAATCTCAAACGAGTTCGCCCTTCGCCTCGAGTTCCAACACCCAAGGCTCCAGATTTCAGGTGCTTCGGACCTTCGACAATGTCCGATTCCGACCTTCGAGGCCGATCGATGCCCTCCTCCGTCATGGAGGAGGACGTGCTGAAGTTGAGAGAGGCCAGGTTCTTGACTGGCGAAATCTGGCATAGGCTGCCTGCTCAAGGGCAGGTCATTCCCACTCCCAAGCCTGGTGAGAGTGTGGTGTTCATGTCTCACTTCCTTCGGGGGCTAGGCTTCCCGATGGATCCCTTCGTGAGGGGGCTCATGTTTTATTATGGGCTGGAATTTCACGACTTAGCTCCGGAGTCCATCCTCCATATTTCCTCATTCATCGTCGTGTGTGAAGCCTTCCTCCGTATTACTCCTCACTTCGGACTATGGCTCAAGACCTTCAAAGTAGAGCCGAAGAGGATCGAGGGACGGCACGCGGAGTGCGGAGGTGCTTTTATAAGCAAGAATGCTGGTGCTCCATGGCCCGAGGGCTCTTTTCAAGAGGAGTCCAGCTTAGGGCAACGAGAGTGGTTTTACATCACCGTTCCCAGGGGCACCAAGTGGGTGGCGCCACCTGCCTTTCGCTCGGGTCCCCCACCACAGCTAGTGTCATGGGTCAATAAAGGACCGGACTGGGGGCCATCCAAGGACGTGCCCTTGTTGCATGGCCGCATTCGAGATCTCTTAGAAAGAGACATTAGCCTGGTCGTGGTGACGCAGGTCATGTTGATCCGCCGAGCCTTGC